AAAAAAAACCGTGCAACTTGCTCCTTTTTACATAGTTCCTTAAAGATGCTCTGTAAGTGGCAAGCTGCTGTCTAGCTGAAGCAAGGGCTTGCCTGAGGAGGAGGAGCAAGTGGCGCCCTTCCCGTAGCAGCTCCAGGTCAGGGCCCAACCAAGCCTCTCAGCCACCTCCCTACAGGCTGGCCACAGAGGCATCAAAATAGGGGGAACATGCCCACTGCCCACGCAGAGCATCCCCAGCCCAGACACCCAGCTCACTAGCACCCGCTCAGCCAGAGGCACCCCCGCAGAAGTGGCTTGCTCAGCTAGCCCATCCCAGCAGCTGAGAACACCTGACTCTGGGCCTTGGCAGGGCTGAGGGCAGTTCACAGTCTTGTTCCAGGCCTGCTAAGGCAGGTACCTCTCAGGGCAACAAGGGAGTCGGGCATTGAATCACCTGAATCACTGACTAATGTGGTGGGCCAGCTAGTGCCAAGCACCTGGCCATCATTGTTACCATCCACCAGCAGAGGCCCAGAGAATGAGGGCCACAGGGCCACCGGGGAGCAGCATGCACGGAGACCCACCACGCTCTCAGGGACGGGATAGAATGTGAAGCAGGGACCCACAGTTCACTCCTCAAGCCCAAGGGGAGGCATGTGCGGGGCTTCAATTCCTCAAAGCAGCCAGTGGCACTGCTCACCGAGTATGCTGAGGAAGTGGGGAGCCGGGCCCGCAGTGCCCCAGAGCGGCACTAACGGAGAGAAGCCAGCGCTACTGTGACCGTCCAGGGTGGAGACCGAGCAAGCCAGAAGTCAAGAGGGAAGCACTGTGTCTCCCCAGAGGTAAGTCACAGCAGCGCCTGAGCAGGGCAGCTTGGGTGGCCAGGGGCAAGTCTTCACACCCTGTGGAGCTACTCCCAGCCACCTTCTTCACTGGAAGGTGACAACCCCACCTGACACTTATTTACAGTAAAAAGGACCCCCTCTTTCCAAAACAAGTAGGTCTAAACACCAGGGCTCACACATTTGCCCAGTGCCAGACCTTGTCCCCAAATCTCACAGCAACAACACAGCTCCTGCCCCCTGCCCACATAAAGTAGCACACTCTGAGCCTTTGCTGCAAGGGGCCTAGGAGAACCACTGCAGACCAGAGGTCTCCCAGCCACCTGCCCCCCTTCTCACCCTGCATCTCTCAGGCTACCTGCCGGGAAATGTACCCTATGTGACTCAAGACTCCCGCCTGCGGGCACAGAGAACAGCTTTGGGGACGCGGGTGAGGACATGCAGGCAGCAGAGGCTGCTGGTGGTCACCGGACATCAGAGCCGGGGGAGCAGGGATGTTGCTGCCCCAGGTTCCTCACACAGCTGTTTGCTGCCCCTGCCTGTGAGAGCCTGGCTGTCGTTTACCTGTGCAGTCATCCCCGGGCTGCGGGTTGCAGGCCGCCAGGGCAAACTTGGTGTGGTAGCGTGCCTTCTGCTTTGCATTGAGCATGTCCCACTGCGAGCCCAGCAGCTCCTCAATCTCCTCGCCAGAAGCATCAGGGTGCTCAGAGACCACCTGTTGACACAAGGGGGTTGCCATGAGATGGCTGTGGTTGGCGTGGCACTCACTCAACTGCAGGGCCTGAAAAAGCACTCAGCACCTGGTACCTCTACGAACATCACTGTGCTTGCTAAGCCCTCATCAATGGAAATGCCAACTTGAAATCACTGCAGGCACCCTTGGAGGCCGCCTCAGAGCAGGGTCGCCAGGCCTCTCGATGGACATGGCCTGCCATCTCGCCCACCCAGGTCCTCGGATTGGGAGGATGATAATGGTGGGCTACCGAGGAGGGCTTCCTCCTTCTGTCACAGCTCAGCCTGGACCTCTGGGGCCATCACGGCAGCACTACAGGCACCCCAGCAGACCCCCCAGGCCCTGCTGACCAGGACCCTCCAGTGGGATTAGCGGTTCTCATATGGCTGCTCCTCAGAGTTTAAAAAGAGGGAGTTGAAGTCCCTCCCAAAGCCAATTACTCAGAGCACACCCAGGGTCAGCTTTTGTATAAGTGCACTCAGATGCCAGCCACCAGTGCAGGGCCAGCAGCCACCACCCTGTAGCCATGGCCAGCCCCAAAGCTAAGCCTGCTTCTACATTTTCAAGTAGCTGAAAATCATCCAAAGTGGGCCTATCCCCTGCCAGACGAAAGCTACACGTGCGGGAGGGTGCACACACACAGCTTTCCCAGGGTGCAGCCACCGTCCATCTCATATGTCAGTGGCAGTGGTGCTCACACGACCCCAGCTGAGAGGGGCACTAGGATTGAGACCGCACTGCCCGAAAAGCAAAGTGCCATCTGGCCCAGTTAGGAAGTCTGCAGATGGAGGATCCACCAGCATAACTCAGGAACAGGTTCTGAGTTCAAGTCCTGCCTCCTCCATTGACTAGCTTTGCCAACTTAGGCAAGCCAATGTGTGGCCTCTACGACCCCTTGCTGCCTGGTGGGCCACATCCAGCTACTGGGTGATAGCTCCAAGGCCAAGCGCCCACCTCTGGGCCAATTCTGAGGTGCTCGCCCTCTGCCAGAGAGGCCTTCCCCTTCCCCCATGCCTCTGGTCACACTGCCAATCTCAGCCAAGGTGTTCCCTGAGCTCAGTGATCCAACAAGAGCTCTCTTTGGCTGAGAAAAGGTGCCTGGTGGTGCGGTGGGTTAAGCCGTGGGCTGCTAACTGAGAGATCAGCTGTCTGTACCACCAGCTGGCACAGCAGTCCATTTCAACAGATTTATTGCCTCAAAAGCCCTGTGGGGGCAGTTTCACTCTGTCCCACAGAGTCACTAAGAGTCAAAATGGACTTGACAGCCGTGGGTGGGCAGGGCAGTTGAGGCCTGGTGGCATAGTGGCTTTAACTCAACAGTCAGCCATTCGAGCCTACCAGCCACTGGAAGAGAAAAAGACATGGCAGTCTAATTCTGGAAAGATCTACAGCCTCCCAAGCCATCCAGGCAGTTCCAGATTGTGCTCCAGGGTCTACAGGAGTTGGGTTTGATTCCACTGCAGTGAGCTGGGTAGGCTGTACTAGGAACGTTACTCAAAACCAGAACCAGCTGGGTGGGCAGAGGCCCACAGGTTGCCCACCCCACCCACAGAGAACACATACCAGTCCAGGAGGCTGGTCACTAGCGCACCTCCACTCCAGTTTTGACACCAGGGTCAGCACTGCACCACCTCTGACCATGCAGAAGGGCACCAGGGGGGTGAGGGGTGGTCTGAGCCTCGTAACCACAGCACCACCACATGCACCCACACAGACACATGCAGGCACACATATGCACACACAGCCAGCCATGAGCATGGCCTTGGAGCAGATCTGAGCACTGGTGTCCACGTACGGGCAGTCTCCAGAATGACCCGTTTCTGTGCTCCTTGGTCCATGTCTTAGAGCTCAACTCGGGGCCCAGGAGCAGAAAAGGCAGTCTCTGACAGTGGTTTCGGTTCTCCAGAACTCGCTTTTCTGTCTGTCCTATTCCACACCAGAAGGAGGAAGCCACAGAGGTGAGCAGAGAAGCCCAGAGTGTGACTGGCTGCAGGGCGACATCTGGAGTTGAGGAGGAAGCCCCTCACCCATCATGCCCGTGGACCCACCTGTCACAAGTCACCAGAAGGAATGTCCAACCAGCGCCAGCCCTACCAGCAAGAGACCCAAAGTGGTACTTGTCTACCTGTCTTATTTTAAGTACAGTAGCGATTACAACTTGTCCACCAGGTGGCAGCACCTCCCTGCGTCAAACCCCCCCAAATCCAAACTCAACTTCCAGCAGATTTCCAATTCACAGCTGACTCACAGGGACTCCGGTAGCAGGGTACAACTGCCCCATAGCTTTCCAAGACTAACTCTTTACTGGGGTAGAAAGCTCTGTTCTTTCCCCCATGGGCAGTCTCAAAAACTCTAACTCACTCCCATCAAGTGGGTTCTGATTCATGGCGACCCCAAAAGACAGGGTAGAACTGCTCCTGTGGGTTTCTGAGACTGTTAACTCTACAGGAATAGAAAGCCCCGCCTCTCTCCTTCAGGCTTTCTCTCAGCCACCCCTATGTGACATGTGTAGCACACTCGCACTTCCCAGTTGACATCATGTGCACACCTCGGGCAACATGCCTAACTTCAGCATCTATCCATCCAACTCCATGGCTGCACCGCATGAGCACCTCCCACCACCTGCCCACTTGCTGATGGAGGCCCGGGCACATCCCTGCAGGCACAGAGGGCAGTTCAGCTGTGCGCTGTTGGCTTTGACGGCTGCCAGCTTCGCATCAGCCATCCACCTACACCAGGCAACAGTCCTATCGTCTCTCACCTCCTCAGACCATGGTGCCATTCCAGTGCTGTTTCTGCCTCTCTGATACCATGGAATACTGCCTGGCTGTGGTTTTGGAGTCTAGTGATATAGTGGTTTAAGCAATATGGGCTTTGAACCACAAGGCTGGCAGTTCAACCACCCGAACCGCTCTTTAGGAAAAAGATGAGGCAGTCTGCTCAGATAGCCAGAGTGGCTGTACCCTGAGAGCCACCAGCCTGGGTGAGTTCACTCCAGCTACACTTTCTGAGTTTTCTTCAATGTCGCACACACGCACACACACACACACACTCCTGCAGTAAGGACAGCTGTAGTTCCTCCCACACAATTCCACCTTTTAAAGTCTTCTCTTCCCTCTTAATCCTACTGTAGCGGCTGCTATTCGCAGCAGAACGTCTGAGATCAATGGTGACACAAGGCACCTCTCTTGGACAAACATTTAAAGAGAATGCTTCTGAAGTTTCACCAACATGCACACTTGCCGAAGGTTCTTGATCAGAGTCCTTTTAACAGGTTAAGGGTCAGTCAGTCCCTTCCCAGTCCTAATTTTCTAACTTTTTGCCACAGAAAAGCAATGATTTTTTATCAAATGCTTTTTCGCCACGTCTCTGGTGGCTGAACCATTAACCTGCCACCTCAGTCAGTCTCAGTCACAGCCTGCCAGACAGCAGGCCACAGCAGCCACGCACGCACGCACGCACGCACGCACGCACACATGCTCTTCCATGGCAGCCTTCCCACTCCAACAGTGGGCACAGCCAGCACGTGCTGGCACTTCTCTAAGTGCCAAGTGCCCCAGTGCTGGGCCGCTTCCACACGCAAGGCAAGACTCGGGGAACAGATGCTATTTTTCACTGTACTTTCAAGTACCATATGGATTTAAATTCCCGAATAAAAGATTCCCAAGAAAGGAAATTTAAACTCAACAACACAACAAAAAGGCCCGGGTTATAGAACCACTTAATTCACGGACAGTAAGACAGCACAGCCCCAGGAGCCTGGCCCCTCACGGCTTTCTAATGGAATGGAGCCTTTTTGTGTGTGACCAACAGGGTGCGTGTTTCATAAACACTGTTATGAAAGTTGGTTCAGTGGTTTTAGTCATCATGTCCCTTTCAAACATTATGGAAACCACCCCCAAATACTTAACACCTGTCAACAGAGCTGTTAGATGCTGCCACGTTGGTTCTGACCCAGTGCGACTCCACCCATACCAGGCTAGAAAGGAGCGCTGCCGCCTGGCACCACATGGCGCCTATCTGAGCCCGTGGCCACAGCAATGCCAGGAGATACGTGGGTCTCTAAAACAAGCGTCAGGGGTTGAATTGTGTGAGTCCTGTGTTCAGTTCCTGAGGCAGTGCTTGTGCTGGAAGTCTCCGAGGGAAGACGGATGCCACGTCCAGGGAGATCTTCAGGGAACAGGCCGGACTGAGAATTGGCCCTCTCCTCAGAGAGAGAGAACACCTTCACTGACTGCTGAGATCTTGCATCGGGACGTGCAGCCTCCTAAACAGTGAGAGGATCGTTCTGTCCACTAGGCCCCCCATGCACTTCCACTGTTTCTGTCAGAGCAGCTCGGGCCAATAGAATGAAGGTGGTTCCTGGCTAAGCACTTAACCCCTCACCAGAAGGCTGGCAGTTCAAACCCACCCAATGGCACCCAGGGATAAAGCGCTGGCAACATGCTTCCTAAAAGTCACTCATGGCCTTGGAAACCCCAGGGTGCACAGCTCTGCTCTGCCCCACAGCTCAACAGTCAGAACAACTCAGTGGGCACACTGCGAACACTGCAGCTGCAGGAGAGTATGCGAAGCTTCACCCAAGGCCAAGGATGGGCTGCCAATGGCTTTTGCCGCTGGCCCCCAGTGTTGCCCTCTCATACCCAGAGCGGAAAGGACAAGCAGCTGTCCCCCAACCCCCTAACAACATGTAGGAACCAGATGTAAAACCAGGGCAATGCCCAGTGCACAGTCTGCATAGGATGCTAAGGAACCAGTCTCAGGTTCCGAGTCCATCCCAGTACCCACCTCATCCCTGTGCTTTTGACAGAAGACCAGAAACTGGGACACGGCATCACCCTTCCTGCTCCGGGGCGTGCAGGCCATGGCCTTCTTTCTCCCGGGGGGAGATGACACTCCTCTCTTGGACTCTGCCTCTGCCACCTTCTGAGGCGTCCCAGGATAGCTTTCGTCAGCAGAGCCTGGTGGTCTGGCTCGCCGCCGCCTCTTGATAGGGGTGCCCTCTTCTTTCAGAGACTCGGGGAGGTCGGCCACTTCCTCACCAGCTCCTGAGGATTCGACCCCGTCTCCTAGGGCCTCTGCAGGCACACCAGCCTCCCGGGCTACTCTCGGGTTAAGATGAAGCTGATCGCCCACGTAGAGGAAGGTAAACTTGGCTTTCCGCTCATCTGCTGACATGCCTGCGGCTTCGTTTGCCTGAACAATCCCCATTTCCCACTGGGCGCGCAGCTTCCCTGAAATAGGTTTCAACAGCTGCAGAGGAAAACAGAAAGACATGCTACATCTCCTGACATACACAGAAGAGTTAGTAACTTTAAAGAAGATGAATTTTTTCAGAATTTCAGGTAGATTTAGAAGTCAAAAACTAAATGGCAGAGACCAAATTCAGCTCAATACACTGCCATGTTTCGTTCAACTAGGCACCCATTCCAGTACTTTAACACACGTAAGTGTAAAAGGAAAAAGACAAGTTATAAAATCACTTCTCTCTGGGAGTCATCTAAGGAGTAATAAAGGAGAAAGTGCCTCCTGGGAGAAGCTTTGTCGTCTAGCGCATAATTCTTGGGCAAAAGTACGCAACTGCAGCCAGCATGCAGCAGCCAAGATCATATTTCAGGGAACTCTAAGTTCAAAACCTCAGGAAAGAAAGAACATCTTGCTGACGATTAGGGTTCCCATCACCTTTATCTTCTCTGCTTTCGTGGGGGCCTGTTTGGCACTTTCTTGGCACAGTTTTTCAAACTGTCCTTCTCCTTCAAAGGCGACCAGGCTCTTCTCAAAGATCCACGCTCTTTCTGGGGCGTCACCGAAGAACTGCACGTGGTACTGGCGCGCACTCTTTTTCTGACCTGGTTTTTTAAAAGAAAACATTAGAAGCTGTCACAGACGGAATTTAGGGTGAAATCAGGGGTTTCTATATAGTGGCTTGACTTGGCGCCATTTGAGCCTGTTGACATCAAAGTTAACTCCTTCCCTGCTCACCCCTACAATGCCCAACGCCACAGACAGGAAACTCAACAGACCCAAAGCTGGCTGGAGAAGAGTGGGCTCCACACAGCCCTTGAGGCTCCTCTCCCTAAGGACAACAGCACGAGCCTCCCTTCTGAGGAGAGAGACCACCAGCAAGATGGAGTGCCTGGAGCTGGAAAATTCTTGCCCCAGCACCACCAGTCCCCAACGGGCTTCAATCACGGTGTGCCAGGGGACAGACACCAAGTGGCCACAGAGGTGTCCACGCAGGTGTCCACTTGCTATTACTGTTCAGCAGCAAGCAGGAAGGCACATCCCACAGGATCTGGGGGTAGAAGGAGATATTCTCACCCCCAAACCCCAGAGGGGATGCCCGAGTCCTTGGAGGCCAGTGCGAGGTTGAAAAGAGAGAAGCCCGCTCAAAGTCTGCTCTCTGTAGGAGGAGGAAGAAGAGAGGAAGGAGAGGTCACCGGTCACTGTTCTCGCCAGCAGAAAGATGGTCACAGGAAGTGACCTGACTGAAGTAGGCGGAAGGAATGTGCCCCAACCCCCAACAGAGTCTTTGAGGGCTCCAAACCTGTGTGCAGCAGACCCTCTGAAGCAAAGCCTGCCATGTAACAGAGCCCCATCCCCACCATACAGCTGCGATGGTGAGCTTTTTACATGCAAACTCAGCAGGAGGAGCCCGCACCTGTAGCTCCATCCTGAAAGAGTCCACGGGCCACACAGATGAGCCACCTCCATGAAGCCTCAGACAGTGCAAGGAAAAGACCGCAGGCCACCAAAAACTTTAACTTGCTACCAGATAAGAGGATAAAGTTATTGGATAGTGTGAAGTGCAATCGTGAATATAAAAGGCAACAGAGTTGCCTGGAAGGGGAGTCAATAAATCTCCCAAAAAGGGGGTTAAAATGGGGGGTGGGGGTGGGGTGTTTTCTTCTGGAATCTACAGGACCTATCAGTCTCTGAAGTTCTGCCCCAAATAACAGGACCAGAGACACTCACCACATGAACCAACACACAACCATGTCTCAGAACCACACCACCCCACCAGCGAGCACCCACACTAGAGACAGAATGGCCAAGAACTCTAAGAGCAACTCTGGATGCTAGAAAGTATTAAAGGATTACCTCTGGAAATCAGAGGGGACCCCGGCCTGATTCACAATAAAAAGTTCAAAGAAAATTCTTTTCACCATAAAATTCTGCACTCAACCAAATAAAAAGTGAAGGCAAAGACATAGCAAGTTCTAAAGGGCAGACTCGAAAGTTTGGAGTCCCTGAGGAGGGTTAAAAGATGTGATCCGGATCAATCTAGAACCCCCAAGAATAACAGAAAAGTAGGTGAGGGGCGACGGAGGACGATGTAAGATATGGAAAAATAATCTATAACTTATCAAGAGTTCGTGAGGAAGGGTGGGCAGCGGGTGGAGGGGAAAGAAAATGGGGAACTGATATCAGGGGCTCAAGTGGAAAGAGAATGCTTTGAAAATGATGATGGTGGCTTATGTGCAAATGTGCTTGACACACTGGATGAATGTATGGACTATGATGAGATGTAGGAGCCCCCAATAAAAGTATTTAAAAAAAAAAAAAGGATGTGCTCCAACGAGCAGAGAATCAGATGCAGGGGCATGTAGTGGGTTCTGTGGGGCTGCTGACCACACAGAGAAGAAAGTACTAAGAATTAAGGCCTCAAGGACAACAAAGCATACCACTAAAAAAGAAAGGCAACGACTGACTCAAGGAAAATCAAAAAGTTGAACAACGAAAATGCACTCAGAAGATAAATTGTGTCAACATTTATTTTTAATGCAGTGCCATAGAAACCATAAATTTGGGGGGGGGGGTGCAGTGCACAAAAAATAGGAAATAGTTGAAGAGGCCAATCTTCATTTTCCAAAATAAAAAGTCAATGGAGTATGTTAAAAAAAAGATAGGTTTCAAAATAACTACCTCTGGGGAAGAGGAGGGAGGGGCTATGTCTCATTATCGTCTTTCAGTACAACCTGACTTGTTTCTAAGTGTGCATACTCCTCTGATTTAAGAGGATTTAAAATTCTAAAGGTTGTTAAGAGACATTTGCCCTCTCCCATTACATTAGCCCTTGGTGATGTGAACAGTTAAGCACTCAGCCACTAACCCAAAAGCTGGTGGCTTAAATCTGCCCAGATGCGCCTCGTTAACAAAGTCCTGGCAACCTGCTTACAAAAGTGCATACAAAGCAACAGAAAACCCTAAAAAACACAGTTCTACTCTGACACACACTCATTCCAACCGAGGTTCCCCTCCACTACATCGGACCTTTGAAAGAACTTTCCTGAATCATGGAAATAAACAGATACACATTGTAGTGTTATTTATAATGAAGAAAACCTCTAAAATTGCTGAAATTAGATAAACTTAAATCATGTTTATGAATGGTTAAATTCACTGTGGTCAAGTTAATTGACTCATAATGACCCTCGTTAGAAATTTTCCTAGACTGTCCATCTTTAGGGAGCAGACAGCCTCTGCTTTTTCCTATGGAGCAGTTGGGGGATTTGCACTGTCTACCTTGTGGTTAACAGCCCAATACTGAAGTCACAGCTACAGTCAGTGACACAGAAAGCTCCTTACATACCATGGGGCAGGGGGTGGGGGAGACATTAGGGTTTAATCCCAAGTTTCAAAAATAAATGAATTTAACATTTACAAAATCTTCTATTTATTAATGTTAGTAATGTAGCCCAATTTCATCCTTCCATGGGTTTCTTTAATCTATATGAATTTTTATTTTAACTCAGGTAGAGAAGTGATTATCTAGCTGGTTTATTTTACCACATAATAACCAGCTGAGTTCCCACATCATTTACTCCAAACTCTTTCTTCCCACCTTTCCTGAGCTGCACCCGCACCCTTTTCTAAGGAAGCCTGGACTCCACCTACAGTCCTACTGCTGTCTCTCCTCCTTATTACAGCCTGCTGGATGAGGGGTGGCCTCTCCATCCTCCGGGTGGGACTGAACCAGTTTCTCTCCAGATGACGGGGAGGCTGTGAGCTGATAGCAGCCAATAGAACTGGATGGCAGTGCACACAGAAAGAACTGCACTATATGTAGAGACCAGGCTGCCTTGAAAGGAGGCTCAGGGGAGCCCCAGAAGCCAGTCAGATCCAGGCAAGGCCAGGGTACCCACAAGAGTGACGAGTGGCACCAAGGGACAGGTGCCACTTTGTCAGCGTTTCAACAGAAGCACCAGCCAAAAAGGGTCCAACCACGACCGCAGTGCTCAGGAACTAAGCCTAACAGCATCAGGCCATGGGGTTATCATGACAAACCAACCTGCGCCCGGGGAAGTCAGATGGCCTGGAATATGCCTAGAAAAACATTAGAATTTAGAATTAAACAATGAGCTTTAACTTGTAAGACTCCCAATCACTAGATCTTATTAATGTGAATCGATCTAGAGACATGTAAAAACCTTACTTGCTTTGTTGAGAAGACACGAGAATACTGGGAATGTCTGTATATACATAGATAAGAGATTTTTAAAAGTGCTCCAAGGGTAACACTATGTCAGATGATAAAACTGCCCTTCCTTCCCAGCGGAGGCAGAGCTGGTGCCCCTATTCTGCGCAGTGTGCAGACACTCCGGCCTGGTCTCCGTGAAATGTCATGCTGAATTTAGCTGCACCATCCTCAAATAGGAGGAGTCCGGTGGTGTCGTGGTTACACTTTGGGCTGCTAACCACAAGGTCGGCACTTTGAAACCATCAGCCACTCCTCAGATGAAAGAGATGACTTTCTACTCTCAAAAAGAGTTAACAGTCTCAGAAACCACCAGAGCAGCTCTACAGGGTCCTATAGGGTTGCTATGACTTGACATTGATTCGATGGCAATGAGTTTGGTTTACTCTCAAATAGCAATGGGGAGGGAGGGGGCCACTAGCAGCTCATTTTCCCATCAATGGAACCTGCTGTTTGTTGTTAGGTGTCGTCTAGCCGGTTCCGACCCACAGCAATCCTATGTACAACAGAACCAAATACTGCACAGTCCTGCAGCATCCTCACAATTGTTCCTCGACTTGAGCCCATTGTTGTAGCCACTGTGTCCATACATCTCCATGAGGGCCCTTCGTCGTTCTCACAGGCCCTCTACTTTACCAAACTCCATGTCCTTCTCCAAGGACTGGTGCCTCCACACAACATATCTGAGGTAGTAAGTTTATTGTGCCAACCTGGGCGATAAACACAAGTGGGGTTACTTGAAGGGTGGAGAGATAAATGGCTCGGTGAGCCTTGTCTTTCTAGTTCTCGGGTCTCTTGCTTTGTGAAGGTCGGACCAGGGTGCAGCTGCCTTAGCCAGTTCCCTGCTTTAGCTGTCAAGACTCACTTCCTGCAAGATGTCCCTGAGGAGAAGTCACGTGGACCTACCCCAATGCAGCCCTGGATGCTGGAGCAGCCGTGTGGAGACCCCTGCCAGTGCTGAGATGCTTCAGCTTGCAAGATGGATTTCCTACAAGACATCCCCAAGGAGAAGCCGCATGGATCTATCCCGATGCAGCCCTGGGTGCTGGAGCGTCCGTGTGGAGACCCCTGCCAGTGCTGAGATGCTTACACGTTCACTGACTCAGCTTTCCTCCTGCAGTCGGCAT